TTTATCTTAATCAAAGACGTGATTTCAAATTTTCAGTTACGAAGCTCAATCTTCTTTTTCTATAGATGTCAATCGTTCACAATCATATTGAAAAATAGCGACAACTATTTGAAATATTTTTCTCATTCGATCGCTTGCTATTTCTGCGTCCTCACATACATTCCTTCCTTCTATCTAACATACATACTAAACCAAAGTTTAAAGTATCGATAAAAAAAAATACATGGCTAGTAGTCAATCATCTAATGACAAACGTGTAAGTGATTGTTTTTATTGAAATAAAAAAGGCAAAAAACAAATCGATTATATCAATAGAACGATGCATCTGCTGCTCGGCCTTCGCCATCAGGTGGTGTAGGTGGTGATAATCAAACACGTAAACGTTTATTTTCGAAAGAACGTAATTATTATTATTATTCTATCTTTAAATAACAAAAACAATCATTGAAATTTAGTTCGTAATATGATGTATGGTTTCGGTGACGATCCACAACCATATGCTGAATCAGTAGAATTACTAGAAGATCTTGTTCTACAATATATTACGGATATGGTAATAGATCAGAAGATTTTTGTTTTGTTTTATTCAAAATTTTCTTTTTAGACATTAAAAGCATCTGAAATTGGTAGTAACAAACAAGGTCGTATTGTTGTTAATGATATTCTTTATTTACTTCGACATGATGCAAGAAAATATGCACGTGTTAAAGAACTTTTATCTATGAATGAAGAATTAAAACGAGCTCGAAAAGCCTTTGATGAACCATCAAAGGGTCTTGAATAATTTGTAAATAAATAATTTCTTTCTTTCTTTTGTTCTTTCAGATAAAATATGAATTTATTTATTTATCTATTTCTATTTCTTACTGTTTTTGTTATTAATGTTAATTCATTAATTGATGGTCTTTATTGTGGCCGAGAAAATTGTTATGATTTACTTAATGTAACACGAACATCTACTAGACAGGAGATTGTTAAAGCCTATAGAAATTTAGCAAGAAAATATCATCCGGATATGGCTAAAACAACTGATGATAAAGAAATATATACGGAAAAATTTCGAGCATTTGCTAATGCTTATGAAATTTTAAAAGATGAAGAAACAAGAATTGATTATGATCGAATGTTAGATCATCCAGAAGAGTAAGCTAAATATTTTTTTAGAAATATTAATTTCATTTGTTTCTTTTAAAAAAGATATTATTCACATTATTATCGATATTATCGTCATCGATATGCACCAAAAGTTGATGTTCGCGTTGTTTTGTTTGTTCTTATATCTGTTATAAGTGCAATTCAATACTATAGGTTTGTTGAAAGGATTTTATTCTTCGAAAAATATAAGAATTAGATTTTCGATTTGTTATTTAGTCAATATAGTAATTATAATACTGCAATTAATTATCTTGTTACAATGCCAAAATATCGTATACAAGCACAGGAAATTGCCCGTCAAGAAGGATTACTTGGAAGTCCTGGTGGAGAATCTTCGAAGAAAAATCGTGGACGAAAAGCAATAAGTAAACAAGAAGAAGAAGCAATTCTAAGGCAAATTGTGGAACAAAAACTTGATATTAAAGGTGGTTATAAAAAACCAAGTAAGTTTCGAATATCTTTATTTAATATTTTCCCAAAATCCAGAAAATTTTTGAAAAAAAATTCAACAGTTTACTTAACAAAGAAGCGATGTAGTTCACTTGTTATTAGCTATCAATAAAGAAAGTCCCACGAAATGTTTGGCAAGCAGGACTGTGAAAGCTCAGGTTCGATTCTTTCGAACTGGAATTGTCACATTTCTATTGGCAAGAGTATTGATTTTAGCCAGAAAGTGTGAATGTAGATAAAGCATGGACACAACACCCACACTCTCAAGGTGCACATCTGTGTATATGTGCTAATCGAAGTGCAGAGCACAGTAGAATGGCACTCGGTAGACGATAATCATGACCGAATTTTTACTCTCCGGATTTCAAGACATATCCGATATTTTAATCATAATGTTCATTAAAAACTTAACTATTTATTTGCTAGGTATTACACGTGTACTTTGGCTTCAGTTAATACTTTTTCCATATAGTTTATTCTTAAAATTAAAATGGCATATCCGATGGTTTTTTAAATTCCATTTAAATAAACATGAATTAGGTGATGATGAAAAAATTTATTTAATGTGTCGATATTTAAAAATGAGTCGTGATCAATATGACGTTTTACCTGAAAAAGACCAGGATCAAATGTGGGATAGAGAAATTTGGGTAAAAGAAAATTTTCGTCTTTGGAAACAAGAAAGAGATGAAGAACAAAAGAAAAAATTAAATGAATCTGGTCGTTATAAAGCTTATCGTCGTTATATGAAAAGTGGTGGACCAGGACAAATGACATTCGATGGTGATTAATTCTTACTTCACGTTTACTTTTTTATAGTCAGATTTTTGGTTTTTTTTCTTTTTTTAAATTAATTCTTTTAATATAAACAAAAGATATATATATTTATATAAAATTTACAATCGGCAAATAGATGATCAGATATCTAAAGACTACACCAAGAAAAAAAAAGAAAAAAAACAGCATCGCCCACTGTATAACGACTTAAGATATATATATATATATATACAGAAAAAAAAAATTAATTACTACTAATATTGGTCGTTTGTTTAATATCATTTTCAATGGTTATTGTATTTATATTTCGTTTCAATGACGTTATTTGTCTATCAGTACCATATGCAACAGACATATTTGTCTCTAGATTAAGTGATTTTTTAACTTGACATCGATTGAGTATATCATTTAAACGCGTATCTTCACTTGATATAACATGGCTAAAAAACATAAGATAAGTTTTTAAAGTGAATTCTTTTGTTTTTCTAAATAATATTTACTCTCGTTTTAAATGTTGTCTCATTAACATACGAGATTTACAACCAACTGTACAAAAACAACATACATATGTATCAAAATCTTGATGATAAACCATATGTGATGTTAATTTATCTTTACGAAAAAAGAAACGACCACAAATATTGCAACCATATCGAACTTGTCTATCATGTATTGAAGTTTTATGACGAACCATTGTATGAACACTACTAAATACTTTATTACCTATTGATAGAAATTCATTAAATATAATAATAGAAAAATACAAAAAAATATTTTACATATCGGACATGCTGCTTTTGTATCAAATCGAGCAGTAATTCCTTCATCCTAAGAAGAAGAAAAAAACGTAAGAAATAAGCATAATAATTCGTATTTTCCTCATACCAAATCTTCTTGAAAAGAATCGAATAATGGTGAAACAGCTGATGATGGTGGAGACTCGGAATTCTCTAATGTCTAAATAAAAATAAAGAATAGTATTGCTTTTCAAATTTATTCATATAGATAAAGATTCAGTACAATCACCTATCTTTTAACTAGCATAGAAAAGGTCAGATTATCAAAGCAGAACTTTAAAGACATCCTACAATTATAAGTATACTTACACTTCTTTCGAAGACATACAATTTATTTTTTATATGTTAATTGTCATAATTTTTGTCTACTATATATTTCTATTTTTAAACAGCGGAGACAAAAATAAGACTTATCAGAATTCACAAAAACAATGCTAAATTAAACATTGAATGTCATCACAACTCTAAGCATTCTGGTCAATTCGAATGACGCACGATAACTCAACAGGTATTCAGATCATTATTTCTTTATAACCTGACGAAGAGAATTTAGTATGTACTTTGAAATTACAGATTGTAAGAATTACATTCGATTAAGAGTCAAAGGCTAATCTAACATTTCTTATGGCCTTCTTCACTGAGACAACATCTGGATAATGTTATATGTGAGTAAGTTCTCTACGAGTAATTTGATATTTCTAAGGTTACAATTATATACATGTAAGAATATGAAAATATTTGATGAGGTTATTTTTAACATTATCAATAGTAAAAAAAAGATTTTGAAATTAAATTAATATAAATAATAAATTAAAATTTTTCGCATAACATACATTAATTGTTGTATCAGATGTGCACATGCCATTATTTGCATGTTCTTGTCCAAGTAAAAGACTATCAAATGTTTCATGACATTGAGTACATTTGAAATGAGTTGGTCCTGTTGGTGAACATGCTCTTGGATCAGTAAATGCGACAAGCATTGGACGTCTATGAATAGTTGCAACTGTTTTACACATTTCTCCATCATGAATAAGAGCAGGTGTTGGTGATAATGGTTCATTACTAACTGGTTTAAGTGTTATCATTTGTTGCTGTTCTTGTCTATCATCATCATGATTATTTGTTGAATTTGTTAGAGTACTATTTGCAGTACTTGAAAGTGATGGTGTTGCCCATAAATCATTTGAATAAATAAAATTTGATATTGTAGTTTTATCTGGTGATAAAACAGCATCTATATCATCTATACATCTTGATTCATCACTTGATAATTCAATATCACTTTCACCACGATTCGATTCTGCATTCATCAATTCTTGAAAAAGAAATCATTGAAAAAATAAAATAAAAATTCAATGAATTTAACCTGGACTATTTTCATAATTTTTCATATTCATTGTTGACCAAGGTACAATTAATGATGATGATGATGATGAATTCAATAATATTGATGCTGTTGGATGTAATACATCCATCATTGGCATACGTAATCGTTTTGAAAGTGATTCTTGTGATTGTTGTTGTTGTTGATGTTTCAGATCAGTCTTAAGTGAAAGCATAGGTGTAGCAGGAGGAGAACTCGCATCGACATTTGTAGTTTCACGTATTGTTATCTCTGTTGAAAATGATCGACCACAAGGACATAAAAAACGTTGGCCATTATTAAATTTAGGTGATGTTGAATTTGAAGCTAAATTTTTTAATGTAAATGAAAATAATTGTCATAGAAAATTGATAATGAATATGAAACAAAATCGAATTTTAACTTTCTCCTTCAAATACATTCAATCTATTCTTTATTATAACTTTTATTATTCACAAATAATTATCTTTTATCTTTTAAAAAGTTTAAGAATAATCTCGATTATCTTCAAAGCGTATTATAGATTTTATACGTAATTTATCTTTTTGTTTTTTTCAAACAGCATCTAATCAATTGCCTTTTTTTTGTTTAATTAAGATAATAATAAAACTTACATAAAGTTGATCCTCGATATTTTAAAAGTATACCATCAAGCCATCTCATAAGTAAATCAATTTGATGAGTTTTAGTTTGTTCAATAGCTCTATTAACAATTAATTGAACTTCCTCAAATTCCATATTATGATTTATTAAGGCTAGAAATAAAAATAAAAAAATACTTTAATTTACAATTGTAACTTAAGTCATCATGACATGTTTTTTTTTTCTTCTTTTTCTAATAAATAAAACAAACATCCAGCGCCACATATCGTCAAAATCATTTCTATATGTGGCGCTTCTTATTATTGATTGGTTTTTATTTGATATACAAAGAAAGAAATAACATCAGTTGTTGCTCTACAAGTAGAAATGGAAAGAAAAGAGAGGACAATATGTTGATGATGGTTCAATGCACCCACACACATCAACTAAAGTTTTTTTTTCATTTTAGATTGTATTTTTTTGTTTCTTATTTAAAATAACCATTGTTCAAACAAAAAAATAATGAATAATTGTCAATAAACAATATATCCGTAGTTGTAATTTTTTATTTATTCATCCATCTTTACTTGTAAACAACAATATGGAATTGCGTGTTGGTCATAAATATCGTCTTGGACGAAAAATCGGTTCAGGATCATTTGGTGATATTTATCTTGGAACAAATATTGCATCCAATGAAGAAGTGGCTATCAAACTTGAAAATGTTCGTACAAAACATCCACAATTACATATTGAATCAAAAATCTATCGTATGATGCAAGGTGGTGTTGGTATACCATTAATTAAATGGTGTGGTGCTGAAGGAGATTATAATGTTCTTGTCATGGATTTACTTGGACCATCATTAGAAGATTTATTTAATTTTTGTTCACGAAAATTTTCACTTAAAACTGTACTTTTACTTGCTGATCAAATGGTATGAGGAAAATTTGTTTTTTTTGTCAATAGATCGATGAGAGATTTTAGAAATAAGATTATTATAAGACGATTGCAGTTGTTTTTTTCCTAAATTCAAAAGTTGAAAACCTTTCTGTTCAATAGGAAAAGGAGAATCTAAGTTGCAACAAGGTAATTGTTCTATTGAACAGCAGGTAGCAAAGAAAAAGAATGATTCAGCATGACAATCAAGGGGGCGCTTCTCATTCTTTTTTTTTTGTACTTCAAGTATCAATTTATTCTTCTATGTAAGGAAATCTAATCTTTCTTTCTGTTCATATATGAATAGTATTAAGATTTTTTTAATATATTTATTTGCAGGTCAGTCGTATTGATTTTATACATTCAAAAAACTTCATTCATCGAGATATTAAACCAGGTACATAATTAAATCTTATCACTAAATGAAATCACATCTTTTTCAATTTCTTTAGACAACTTTTTAATGGGCCTTGGTCGTAAAGGCAATCTTGTGTATATTATTGATTTTGGCCTTGCAAAAAAATATCGAGATGCACGTACACATCAACATATACCATATCGAGAAAACAAAAACTTAACTGGCACAGCACGTTATGCTTCAATCAATACCCATCTTGGCATTGGTATGTTCTTTTCCTTTTGAATTTTAACAGCTGATTAGGTTGTGACACTAACAAAAAGAAAGAAAAAGAATAACATGTTAATTGTAATATATTACTGTCTATGTCAAGATAGAGTGTTAACAGATTTTGTAATGTTTACTCGTTCTTGTCTGTAGTAAGGCAATGTCTTTGGATATACAATTACCCCACCTACATATATATATATAGTGTCTTACAAATCGAAAGATTGATTATGTAAACTAAATTATCTAACATTTTTTTTTGTTTCTTCTACTATTAGAACAAAGTCGTCGAGATGATATGGAATCTCTCGGTTATGTACTTATGTATTTTAATCGTGGAAGTCTTCCGGTATAAATTAAAAAACTGAATTGAATTTTAATAAGAAGTAAATTTTGATTTTAGTGGCAAGGGTTAAAAGCAGCAACAAAACGTCAAAAATATGAACGTATAAGTGAAAAGAAAATGTCAACACCTATTGAAGAATTATGTAAAGGTTTTCCTGGTAAGAAACGTTTATCTAATAAGATAATATTGGTCGGCGCTTTGTCTCTTTCATTTAAGCTGAATTTACAACTTATTTGTCTTATTGTCGTTCATTACGATTCGATGACAAACCCGATTATTCGTATGTTTATATAACAAGAAGAAAAACATAAAGCTAAAATATTTTCAAATAAAATTTCTTGTTTTTTCTTTGTATAGATATTTACGGCAATTATTTCGTAATTTATTTCATCGACAAGGTTTTACATATGATTATATATTCGATTGGAATATGCTTAAATTTGTATGTCTATTTTTATTTTATACATTCTTTTCTTATAAAATATTTACTTATACGATTAGTGAAGTGTAAGGATAAAACAGCAAAAAAAAAGAGACGTTGAATATTCTCATTGACATTAAAAATATCAGTGATAAAACTATCGATTTAATTTTATTAATTATGACTAATAAGTCATAATACATAGTATCCTTGTGCGCAATATTTTGTCACCGACCATGACAAATACCTTGACAACGACCTATTACAAACCATGACAGACATAGCCTCATAGGTGTAATTTATTGTGTTTTTTTTCTTATAAATTATTAAGAAAGAAACCTCTGAGTTCATAAGTAAACTAAAAAAAAAATATTTGTTTACCTAGTCTAATTTTTTAATGGGATCTCTTAAGAATCGTATAGCAAGAAATAATTCTACTTTTTGAAGAAGACAGATTTTCATGATTTAGAATTTTCGAAAATATGAAACAACTGAGAATCGGTGCGAATCTAGGATTTTGGAAGGAGGGGGCGTGGACGATTTTGGCTAAAAACTGTTTTTGAGTCCACCTCTAAATCCGCCACTGTTGAGAATATACTTTTTCGAGTTATGATTCGTTAAAATATGTTTAAATTTTAATTAGAATGGTCAACGTTTTGATCCGAACAGTGCTAATGAAGATGGACCAAATAAATATGAAAACAATGGCTTTGGTGCTAGTGGTAATTCTCAACAACAAATGTATACTAGTACAAACAATCAAGGTAAGTTAAATAAAATCTTATGATTTTGTTTTTTTCTTTTTCTTTTCTTGTCAAATATATTTCTAATAATCTAAGAAATAATAAGAATAGAAAGTAATGATATGACTCTTGGTCAAACGATTCATGAACCATCGATAAGCATGAATGATGATCATGGTGAAATACCAGACAAAAGTTTTTATACGTCAAAAAAACTTTCCAAATCATCTTCACATCACAATAATAATAGTAAAAAAGCGAATACAAATAACGATTCTATCAATAAAACATCATCAACTTCAAATGTCTTTAGTCGTCTAATGCACAGTGAGCTGCATGTTCAGAATAAACAAAAACATTAAAAAAAACCGAACGGCTGATGCTTGATGACTGTTTTTCTTTTTCATTCATTGCTACCTATATGACGCTATTGCATCCAAATCTAACATACCCCCTATGAGATGAATAAGTTTGAAAATATATTCATATATAAATATTCTATTTTCTTTAGATTTTAATGAGACTGAATTACCAACAAGCAAATCCAAAATGAAATAATTAGATGAGAGAAAGAAAGAGAGGTAGTCATTATGAATAGTTAATGTATCAGAAAGATATTTCTTTTGATTGCGTGTGTGTGTGTGTTGCACATATAAATATATTCTTTCACATCTGCAATGCCTTCTTCTATGCTATACCTTGATTTTGCTTTGTGTTTTTATTTGGAATTTGTTTTTTGAAAATAAAACATGATATGAATAATGAATTCTTTTTTCTAGGTGTGTATCGACGAATGCCTAAAGACTTGCATAACGTGCAACCACCCAAATCAACGTCTAATAATTCCAAACAACATCTGCCGAGTGCGACAGATGCAGGTCGATCATCGTCAGCGCGTGTTAATAAAAAATAATGTTGTATGCACACTTTTCTGTATCTTTTTTTCTTCAGTGTACAGCGCCTGTTTCTATTTCTTTTTCGTCTCTTTAATTCATCTTCTTGAAATTTTATATAGATATATATATATAAAGAAAAATCAAAGCCATTCAAGTTCTTTTTTTTCATCTTACGATAAATTGTTTGTTTCTAAAAAAAAAACACCTATGAAGGCATCGACCTGTGAACAGTGTGTGTGTGTATGTGGTCGATTGCATTTCTTTTCTTTCTTTTTTTTTGTTTCTATCCAAATCAATCGATTGTTTCGCGACAATCAGCATCAATTTGCTTCCATCAATCATATTTTCACATGTTTTTGTTTTTGAATTTTTGAAGCACAGATTTATATACTTTATTCACATGTGTTCTTCTCTAACAAGTTTTCGTTTCTTTTTTTTTGATGCTTAGTTGTTGTCCTATTGATGCTGATCGTTGTCTTGTCGTTTTTTTGTTTTCTTTTTCTTTTTCTCTCTCTTTCTATATGTGCAGCTTCAATTACATAAAACAACATATTATTCGTCGTTTTTTTTCTCTCTCTCTCTCTTTCTTGGCCTTTTCTTTTGTTTAAAAGATCAAAATTCATCATGTCAGAAATAAAGGAAAAAGAAAATATATAAAGAATAATGTCGAATCTATACAATTCTTCGATAATTGAATAGTATTAAAGACAAGCAATAAGATGAAGTATCAATGATATAAACAGGCGTAAAAATTTCATTGAAAGTGTTAGAAATGTATATTTTATTTGCAAAGAGTCTTAAAAGGATTTGCGTTGGCTAAAATATTGTTGTTGAATATTTCGAATGGAAAACATACAGCATTGGAATATCTTCTTTTGGAAAAACTAATAGTTAGAAACAGTATACACATGAGTATATTGTTAACCTTGAATATCGTTCTATATGACTTGTAACAGACGTTGTTTTTTGTACACGTATCAATATATATTTCAGTGTGTGCCAATGCAATATTTACGATATTTGTTTTTTTTCATAAGATGGTACTTGAGTGGATATAATATTCGATGAAAAACTAATCGAAACATAACTGTATTTCTAAACTGATATCTTTGACACTGCAGCATTAAGATTCTATTAATTTAATTAATATCAATTACAAAGAAACCCTATCGTTTTTATTGTATTATTCATATTTTGTTATTTGAAGTTACTTAATTGCTGAGTAAATTTATAATGCATACGAGTTGCTTAAGATTGATTGATTGACATATAAAGTCTATTCATTTCATATATAAGAATGACTATTTTGGTTTTTTACCTGGTAAATAATTTCTGAAGGACAATAAAATGAAAAATTTCTCTTAGTTAATAAGAGGTACTTTTACTCATCTGAGAAATAATCATATGTGTCATTATTTACTTTCGTCATTGATCAAAAAAAGGATTTCTGATATAAAATCGTATATTGAAAACATATGTAAAGAAGGAAGAGAGAGAGAGGATTTGTTCCTCGTTACTTAAATAGAACTTGGCATTTCTTGTTTTCAATTCAATAACATCATTTATATGTATAGTAATGTGTTCTAATAGTAGCAATTCTTCTGAATGTCTTAATGATGGTCAATGCAATTCCGATGACATTTGTATATGTACAAGTGCCTGTTTCGTAGGAAATTTTTGTCAAATTGATTATAATGCTGCTCGTCTACCATTAGCTGGTGCTATCGTTCAAGACAATCCATCAACAGAAGGAATTTATATTCTTATTTTTGTCTTATTGGCATTTATTGGTTTTATCAATAATATTTTTGCATTGACAACATTGTTTCGTGAACGAATTCGAATTACAATATGGGGCGTTTATTTAATTGTTTTCTCTATACTTAGTATCATACTTATGATAATAATTCTTTCCTATATAACGACCGTTGTTAGATATGATAATAGTACATACCGACTTTTGTCTTGTCATGCTATACCATTCTTATCTCTTATAACAATTGATGGAGGTATTTTATGTACAGTAGCAATTGCTGTCGAACGTGCTTTTATTGAATGTTGGAATTTTAATGTTAATGGATCACGATTACGTGCATTACTTATATCTGGTATGATTATACTCTATACATGTGGTTCAAATTTAGATGATATATTTATTCGTCGTATTTCTAATGATCCATTAGGTAATCTAATTTGTACCTATGATTTTGATCGATATCCAACTTGGCGTCATCTTGATATTGTTTTCTCCTATGCACATGTTGTCATACCTTGTCTAGTACATTTAATGTGTTCCGTATGTGTTCTTACAACAATTGCTCGTAGAAAAATCTTTATTCGTAGTACAAACGAGAAACTTTATCGAGTTTGGTTACAACAATTATTTATTCATCGAGATTTTTTTATTCCACCAATATGTATTATTCTTTGTACTCTTCCACATGGTATATTAGGTCATTTACTTGAAACATGTATACCATATTCAGATAAATTTAAACTTCGTCTTCATATATCATTTGTACTATTACTTTATATTCCACAAACATTATCATTTATTTTATATATCTATCCAAATGAAATCTATTGGAAAGAATTTCAAAAGACAATTATTTATCGTACAATTTGTTGTTATATCTATCATAAACAAGAAAAGAGAAAACGAATATTATACTAATCACGAAAATGACAGCAATCTTAAAAGATATATGTAGGCCGTTAAAGGTATTGAACAAGTTGCTTGTAATATTTTTTTTATTAAAAATGAAATAAATTTATATTTGAATAGAATATTGTACATAAATAATCTTTATCTACATGTGTTTTATAACGATATTGAGATCGACAAATACGGTGCGAATATCTCAAAAATAGTTCGATATTTTTATGAATTATTATCGTTTTTATCTCAGTTAAATATATTTTTAAACAATTCATGAATCAATGTATACTCTGTAAGTAACCACATGGACTATGTACATAAATAACACTTTCTATTTTGAATGTTTTTCTTTTTGGTCAAAAAAATTGTTGTTAAAGTACTCGGTATAGTTGCTAATAAACATATTAAAAACAAAAAATAAAACAACAGTAAATATACCCACGCATGTATTAACAACGAGCAAACAAATGAATAAGAACAATCAAAAAGAAAATCTTATTGTTCTTTGATTGAAAAAAAGATTTAATAGCATTTTTGTTCACACATATGCTTAATTACATGACAATATTTAAAGAAATATTTTTCAAGGCAAAAGAAGACCTACAATGAAAGAGTGAAGATAAATCTTATATAGTGACGTTTTTCTTCACTTTGTTTACTTATAGGTATTCAATAATTTTCATAAAATTTATTGGTGTCTTTTTCTTCTGCCGATTGAAAAAGGTAGTGCAGAACATGTGCTTGAATGTTGCATAGTAGGCGTTTAAAAAAAAACCCATTCGTTGACAAAGTAAAATGGCATATAAAAAGGCATGTTTGTCTTACACTTTGATTGTTTGAGGCGATAAAAAAGTCGAAATATTATTACATAAGATTGTCTTTTCTCGGTTTTCTTATTAAGTCGTAGGTATATACTTATTCATACATTATTGTACTTAATATGGGATGCTGTGGTAGTAAGAACAAAGTGGTACCACCTGCTAAATCAAATGCTTATAGTACCATAACTCCAGCGACAGCAAGAGATGACAAACCTACAGCTAATAATCCACCTCCTCCTCCACAACAGGACAACTCAGCAATGCAACGATTTAATAAAGTTGCACTTAGTACAACCAATCCTCTACCACTTGTTAGCGGCTATGGTGATGAACCAGTTGGAACATTAGAAGAAGCACTTCAACCTGTTGATGGTAGAATTGATAATGCAGCTCATTATATTCAAGATGCTAAAGCAAAATGTCATTTCCCATCAGAACATGGTCTGACTCGTGATGAATCTGCTGCGATATATATTTATTCAAAAAAATGGAATAATCGATATGTATCCGATCAGTTACAACAAGCGTTCAGCACTCAAAATCGTTCTCAACTTCAACCATGGTATAAATATCTTAGATTGCTAAAAAGTGGACTTGATAAATTACCGGCTACAACAACAGGAATTTGGCAAGGAATGCCTTTTGATGATAGACTTAATGAAAAACTTAGTTCAAATTCGACAGTACTCTATACTTGTTTGGGTTCATGTGCACCGACTGATGGTGAACTTAAATCTTATCTACAAAAAAATTACGGACCAAAAACAATGCTTCTTAGTTATGAATCAGTCAATGGAAAAGCTATAACTAATTATACTGCTAGTAAATCTCCAGAGATAATGATATGGCCTGGTATAAAAATGGGTGTATCAAAATACGCGGTAGTAGATTCAAATGGTTCAGTAGTTGCACATCTACTTAAAAAAAATGGTAATTATTGTTTCTACTACTATGATTAGAAATCTGTAAATATAAAGAGTAGTCTTGTGATCTGATGAAATTGATTCATCTTAAGATATATATGCTTTCATTATAATCTATGATTAATTATAAACTTTTGCTAATATATTTAGATCCTCCTAAACAAGTCACAATAAAAAAGCCACCATCTGAAAAACATTTCGTCTGCCCGACTAATTGTTGTGGTAACCGTTGTCGTGGTAACCACAAACCTGAGCATTGCTATGGTTTTTCTAATCTTCAAAATTAATCATTCGCCTCGTGATCATCGATCATATAATGAATTCTAAAGTTTCAAATGAAAACATACAACATAAATGAACAGAATCTTGTTCACAATTGTCATCATCATTGCGGTCCTGTAAATGCATGCTTTCGCTGTGGCAACGATTGCTGTGATCTACGTGAATGTAATAAGTGTCAAGGTCGTTATTGTGAAAAATGTTCTCTTCAATAAAAGTGATAACTAAAATATTTACTGTTAGAATTCGAAGTGTACGATACTTCGTTTAAAGTGAAAAACTACTCAAGAAAGATATTGTAGGATATAAACTAATATCAGGTATTGGTAAGAATTCAATCAAGTTTAGACTGCATCATTGATTAAAATTATCATTTTATGTAAAATTTGAAACTAAAGATAAAAACTTATCTTTCTATGCATTATAGTACTTTGAAGATGAGAAGAGACTAGACTGTTGCCTAAAATCTTTCTTTCTATCATATATATGCTTTCAATCAAACAAAGCATTTATGTCATATACAACAGTGTTATTTCTTATTTTTCATACATCAGTATGCATTTTCCTAATAACTCATACAGTTTGATTATGATTGATTATCTTCTCTAATTAAGATATATTCCGTCAACAGATGAAACTAAAAAAAGGTGGTTTTATTGTTGACAACATTGTTTAATTTTATTAAAATAGATGTTGATAGAAAAAAACTTTTATGCCATACAGTATGCGAAGAAGCAAATACATTTAGTTGCTAAGTGCGTACATGACATCATCTACTGACTGTGTTTTGTACATACAGAGAAAGAAAAAAAAATAGAGTGAAACATTTTTATACCGTTGAATAAATTAAGTATACATTTATAATGATGCAAATTGTGAAACTCTATTATTTAATAGAATAGAAGTATACTCATGTAGATTATATATAGTAAAATCATCAAAGAATTACTTGCGTAGAGTAATTATCATTATTACTGATAAATAAAAAAATTTTGTAACTTTAAAAGAATTATATTTGACTATTTTTCATAACTGACTTTTCAACGTATGCATAAGAATCTAGAGGGTGTAAACGAGGAACTAAGTGTGTGTTTGTACGTTCTCAATGCAATTTATTTACTGCACCTATTTATTGTTATAAACCTTAAAAATAAAATTCCTATTGTGTTTACATATGGTTTAATAATTATAATCATATCATATACTAATTCGAGATTTAGTCAATACACCGTTCTGCATGTATCTGATAATAGAGAAAAATCCTAATTATTTGAAGGGAATTCTGATTAAGAGAAAAAATTATCAATCCGTGAATAATTAAACACTAGAGAAATTTATTTTAAAGACAACGTAAAAGAAATATTTGTATTATCACTTATTATGAAACTGATGACTATATATATCTAGATAAATTAGATTAGGTCAGCGTGATCAGGTTTGTGCTGATGGAGGATTATTAGGAGCCAATCTCCAGAAATTTTCTAGGCGTGCTTGAATAAATTTAAAAATTTATTACTCTTCCACTGTCCAATTTGTTGATCTCATAGCGCCCCTAGATATGACATATATAACAATACACGTTATTATAAATCATTACCTGTATAGTTTATTATATACTACTGAATAACATAAAAACAAAAATAGTCATAAACGATATTATTTTTATTTATTGTCTTAAATGTTTTCAAAAATGATATTAAAAATTACAGAAGTATATGTGTGAGTTTTACGAAAGTTTTAATTTCTCTCGAAAAGCATCTGTTTATTTATTTATAAAACTTTCAAAAAGCCACTGTGAGAGAACACTCTGACCGTACCTATAATAACCTGTACAAATATACCTCAAAACACCCTTTTTCTTTTCTCTTTCTCTCGTATTATCAATACTCGCCATATATATCTAAATCAATCTTTTTTTTCTCTTTCTACCACCTATAAGAAACCTTGAAATTTTCATGTGATCTGTTGCTCTACTTTTAATATTATGCAGTTAAAAAAGAAAATATGATATAATCTTCTTTATGTGATACTAACTAAAAAATTCGAATACAAAGAATACATTCAAACTGTAATATTGTTCCATTTTTTCTCTTACTGTCCTCAATTCTCTCTTAAGTTGTGATGTATGAAAAGCCAGATAGTTTTGAATATAGGATGAAAATGAATCGATCTACACGAATTCACATATCTTCATACACTTACTACTAAAGAGAAAGCCTTGTGACACTTACCTAAACCCAAATTATTTTTATCAAGGCGTATATATAAAATTGTGGTCAACATACTTATTTATTTATGTTAAAAAAACATATTTTTTTTCTTTTCAGTCATGATAAATTGGGATTCTTGGTCATATTTTCTGATTAGTCCTATTGTTTCACTATTTTCTCTTCAAACTGACAAGGTTGCCTTCACCTATAAGCGATGACTATAAATGTAAACATTTATACATAGAGGTAAAAAACGAAACATATTACTTTTAATCCTTCTACTCTATATACGCGAGTTACAAATTAATATGGCATTAGAGTTATTACCTAATGAAATTTTACTAGAATGTTTTCAATATCTTAATACATTAGATATTTTTCATTCATTTGATGGACTTAATAATCGTTTTTATAAACTTATCCGTAATATTTCATTACAACTCGATCTTCAGTATATTTCCAATACAAAATTTGTTCATTTTTGTACGAAAACATTATCAGATCCGAAAGTCAAACAACAAATTTATTCATTAAAACTATCGAATAAAATTGTACATAATCAAATTCAGTTATTTTTTTCATTACATTCATTAAACGAATTTTCTCAACTTCGATCACTAACCTTGATAAAACTCAAACAAAACGATGAAGAGAAATTGATAACAATGTTACCATTTATATGTCAACTTCATTGTTTTCAAGTCATTGATTCCAATATCGAAACGAAACAGTTATTAACTGTATTACCAATGTCTAAATTGAAACGATTAGCAGCATCTAGTTTACCTTTTGATTTAATGCCTATATATGGATCAATTATAGATTTAAGACTTTCTCATACTTCTTGGAATGAAGTATATCAAATATTCAAATATCTTCGCTTGTTAAAATATTTACATATTGAAGAGTTTACTGATTCACAATCACTTTCATTAGATTCACCTATTGAAATTTATCCGGCCATTCATTTAAAAAAATTGGTTATAACTAAATTTTATTATTCGTTTAATAAATTTCAAACATTTGTAAAATTTACACCTAATATAAAAACGTTAGATTTAAATACATATGATAGAAATGATTTTTTTGATGCAGATCGATGGGTAAAATTAATTACAGCATCATTACCTGATTTAACTATTTTCAAATTTAAATTCTTCAGCTCGTACAGAATTGGAGAATATAATATACTCGATAGACTCAAACAATTTCGAACTGATTTTTGGTATAAACAACATCATTGGTATACTGAATATGTGGCTTATATGTCTTCGATACTTATTTATACAATACCATATACATCAGATACTTATATAGTAAAACCAAATATTGAAAGATATTATAATCATTTAAGAACGAATACTAATGTATTTGATAATGTAATTAATTTAACATTGCATCAAAATAAGATTAACGATCGAAATTTAAATTACTTTTCGAATGTTGTATCATTGAAATTAGAATATTTCTTTTTACAATTAAATAACATTGAACAATTAAAAATAGTTGTTAATTTATCTAATGTACAACATCTAACAATTTCAGATACATGTCAAATACAAGATACATATTCTTTCTTAAGGATATTACAAGAAATGCCACAATTATTATCATTAGCTATTCAAATAAATTATATACTTACATTTTTCAATGATGATATATTATGTAACTATTTGAATAATAAGATTAAAAAATTGGATATAAATGGATATCCTTATTATACATTAAAAGATTCGACTGAACTAATACGATTTGGTGAAATATTTTCAAATGTTGAACAAATTACTTGTTATTATGAACAACTCACAGATATATCATGTATAATAAATTATTTATCAAAATTATCATGTATCAAAGTTATTATACCCATTCATTTTAGTTTGACATTTGTTTCTGCTTTGTTAAAAGGTGGAACTGATAATATGAAAATAGCAGTTCATATTGAACATGACAATACATTTAATACATTAATCTATTTAAATCGATAAATGTACTTTTTCTTAAAACAATAAAAATAGTTATTTGACAAAATTCTTGAAATTAATTTCATCATTATGTGATGCGAGTGTGTATATTAGTAGTAGTCTGATACACATTCATACCACACCCTTTTGATATTACAAAGGACACCCTACACTATCTTCAACTCCAATCTAATGTTGTATCATATGAATCCTTTCCTACTCTTTGAGAGTAATACACAAATAAACCATATTGTTTACATATAGTTTGCTGACTATACGAACAAGATTGTAATTATTATAGAGCATTACAAAATCAACATTACGATTTGTGAAACTAACTTTTTCTTTCCTATTGATTTACATTCATTTTATAACTATAACATATTACTCTTCACCTTGAACTTCAGTCGAAAAGTGCTTTACAGTTGTACATCATATAACATTGACTGAATTTAATTCGTAGAATAGAGATACGTATCGAACCTGAACTCAAAACTTCGAGTATGCCTGTCGAGGTCACATTTTTTTAGGCTTGGATCGAATCAAACCAAACCCAAAAATACTGATCTGATTTAGACTCCGAGATGTACTTTTCGTAGAGCATCGATATCTCGGTCGTTTCTCTGTGATTTATTGATGATCATTACGATATTGATTCGATTTCGAAGTGGCTACACGACAAATGTTAGAACACGAGTGAAGATTTATTCGTCTTTATTAGGGATATGTACTGTATGATTTTGAATATTATATTATTAATTCGAAAAACGTACACTTTTGTTCTTACTCAAAATTATTTCCTTTACAACCTTGACTGGTGGGCATTAAAAGTTGTGAAGTACAGGGTTGAACTTGCTTTTATTGCGTGTTGATCCGTCTCTGTGTCTCATCATGCATAAGTCTTTCGGCACCTGCTTCTGATATGCTGCAGAGAGATACATCAAGCCATCTGAGTGATCTGTTCTTTCTAAGAATTTCATCCAAGGTACTTAGACTCGAGTCATTCACTAATTTATTTCCAGAGAGATCTAGAAGAGTGAGAGTTGTGTTATGATGAATTAATGCATCAGCCAACATCTGAATTCCTTCCGCACTTATTTGGTTATCATATAACCACAATTGATCCAATGTTTGATTAGTTTTGAGCATTTCCGCAAGAAATTTTATCTGTTCATCTGTTATACCAAGCGAGTTCAGAGCAATCACCTTCAGTGCTGACTGGTTGATCGAAGATGCTAAGGCTTGAATACCATTAAGAGATGTGTGATTATTTGAAAGATTTAAGCAATGTAATGATGTATTGTTGCATAATTCTTTGGCTAGAATCAGGAAAGATTCCTCTCCCAACTCATTGTTGTCTAACCAGAGGTCTGAACATTTCTTTTTAGTGATAAATTCTGTAGCTATAAACTGCATGTCTTCGTCTCTCACTATTTGAAACTGAAGGTAAGCTGGAGAATTATCCTTAAAAGTATGAGCAAGCATTTCGTATTTAAGTCGAGTCCGACGTGACGCATCCTAGAAAGCAGCCTATAGTATAGAAAATATAGATGGTTGACTTACCAATATACAGATAAGACGATTAATTCCAGGATCAGGACTTGGTGACTGTGTTTCTTTTACTTCAATACTCATTGAAATTCCGTCTCACAATATTCGAATTCCACACGCTGTAACGAGAATAAATATAGAATTGCAAGAGAATGTATAATGTTGAATTAGTTTTTTTATTGCCTCAGAGTTCAACGTTTTTATGGAATTGAAGTCACTGCAAAAAAGTAAATAAATGATGAATGTGTTGAAAAATATTGTGTTGTGTTTTGCGCCGAATACGAATTGATAAAATCTTCCAAGAATTGGTAGCTTCTGATATATACGATAGAGCCCTTTTACTGAGTATTTGTTGTTCTCTTTATTCGGCTGGCTTTTCTCCAAATATGAGAGTCAATACTTCGCCATTTCTCTTTTTTCTCTTTCTTCTCTTGATTTTTTTCTACCACGAGTCATTCGATCATATTGCGTATTTTCGTTTTCTTTTGATCCTTCTTTAGTCTATAGATTTGTGTATGCATATTTGCAGGATTGTTGTTTTCTTCCATTAAATATTTGATAGAACATTACAGAGTATGGGTATGGATGGGTATCAGACTACTGCTTATATACACACCCGCACCCATCTACAACCTTAATTTTCTCTTATAGATCCTTTTAGCTAATTAAAATTGATTATGTACGTTATCTTACTCTTTCTCACTACATCGAGTATCATAGAAATATTAGAATTGCCTTTAATAATTGGTCATCTATTTCAAAACAAAGGCTCCTAACGAGATCAAAAAAAATGTCCGTCGACCATCAGCTGACCATAATGTTTTTCAACTGAATAAACTCTCCAAAGAAAGGTACTAATAGCTTTTCGTACATAAATCAAATCAAGTCTTCCGCAAGATTTCAGATTTTCTCAATGTAAACCATCTTTCATTTGAACTTATTGATAATTAATATCTTTACCATATCGTTCCGAAGAGTTTCGAGGCCATCGGTCCCATGAAATGAACGACTTTAGATGTTTACTGCACCATTTTGTTATAAACATCAACTTTGTAGGATGGCAATAATTTTGTACAATATATTTTACCATTTAAACGTTTACTACTTGCAAAAAAGTACGGAATCATCAGTTCATTCCATGTAACGCATATTCTGATGATAACTGAAAGAGAATACTTTTCTTTTATATCAAGTCTACTGATCGCTCATACAACTTCATTTTTTCTTAAATTTAAATAGCCATTTCGTGTAATAATAAAAACTTAGATTCTACCTCTTTGAATTTTAATATTACGAGCTGTCTTCAGCAAGAGTGCACATCATATATAAACAAAATACTGCATAAGATAAATATTTTCAAAATTATTTTCGAAATCATACAATTATCTATACAGTAGTATATCAAACGTTATTCATGACTTTTGTCTTTAAATTCTGACTGTTAATTAATCATCATTAGTCGTGACCCTATGACACCGCATAAACATTGATACAAAAAAATAAAAAAGATTATAATTTTTATCTAAATATACTATTCTTGTATGTTAATATCAGTTTTAATATAATATAATAAAAAACATGATTTTCTTTAACAGAATTAACCGATACATTTTATATAATAGTACGCAACTATTGGACTTTGGAAGGAATATATATATATAACTTTCACAAGCATTACTTGTTTTTTTTCTATTCTTCTGTTTCTTTTTCTTTTTCTTTCACGTTTTCTTTTCATGTATATCATTTTTATTTCTTCACTCGTCGGTTAAATACATTTCGAATAATGACGTCATCTGACACATTATCACCAAGCAAATTTACTAAACATATTCTCTATCAAACATGTCTTGGTTTTTCATGTGCTATACGTGGTTTTATTCTTTCATGGAATAATACTTGTAAGACATGAAATTTCTTCTTAATGTTTAAATTAAAAAAAAACTTATTTAAGATGTATGGAAAACACAACGCCGTTCATTTGTATCTCTTCTGGCATGCACACTTTCCATTTATGTTATACTTTTTATTATTTTTCTACCATTTCGTTTTATTGTATGGTTAATTTCATTTGCGTATACATTTGCACCATCAATTATTGATTGGTTTGAACATGTTTCATCAGCACGAACACTTCTTTACAAACTTATCACATTTATACCATTACTTGCTGTATTTGTAATGAATAATTTATTAGGTACATCAGTATTTAACAAAATATTTTGAACAACAAAAAAATATAATTTTTTCTCTAGGATATGATAAACTATTCTTTTCTGTACTTGCTTCCGTTAATCCATCATTAGCTGAACGTCTTAATTCTCGTGCTCGACAACCATTTCTAAGTTCATTATATTTTTTTCTTCGTCGTACACTTCAAATCTTTATCATTGTAACATGTATACATTTTTTTCGTTCCATACCATATATTGGCCACCTTGTACCAGCTCTTTGGGTACTTAAATACGCACGTTATACAATAACAAATACAAAACATGTTTATTTACGTGCAACATTTTTAATTCTACTTTTTCTATTAATTATTTTTAAATCATTACATCCATATACATTATCATTCTTACATTTACAAATGGCAAGTACAGCATTAGCGCGTGAATTATTTGATACATATTTATCACGTATACATACACAAACAGTAGCGAATCATCGCCCAATCAATATCAAAACACAAGCACCACCGTCACGTTATCAATTTTTAGGTTTTCTTGTTCCGGCATTATTTCATCCATTATTTAATTGGCAAGTCACATCTGATATTGATAAACCACCAAATCAATTAACTTTACCACATAGAAAAATTACACATTTTTTACGTGAAAATTATTTTATTTTACTTGCATTTGCATTTCCTTATGTATTTGTTTTTTCAATTCCATTATTAGGTTTTTTTTGTGTAGGTTTTGCACATGGTGCTGCTGCCTATACATTAGCTGTCGTTACAAAATAACTATATTTGTATTTATTTTTTTCAGATATAATAAAATGGATAGACAAGAATTTTTTCAATCATATATGGATCATTGGGGCATAACTGATGTATTATTAGATTGTTATGTTGATTTATTAACAACGGAAATGATGAATGAAAATACGGATAAAATCAAACGAATGAATTTATTTAAACAATTACTTTCCGAACATCATATTAAATGTAAAGAACAACAAATATTTGAAGATGAAATTCAACAATTAAAACAAGAACTTGATCGTATAACAAAATAATTTATTCATTTTTTTTTTGTTTTTGTATATTATTTGTTTATATGTATGTGATATGTAGAAAAATAAAGAGATATTTGAAATAATAGTAAAGGAAAAATAGAATTTTGATGAATCACTAATAAAATTTACTGACTGACTGACTAAAGTATATACTATATATATGTAATAGACAAAGAGATAAATGAATAAATCGAACGAATCAGAGAATATATATTGTCCATTCATACAATTCAATTGAGGTTAGCCAGAACACGTTAAGGACAATCATCGAAAAGTAATATACATATACACACAATAATGTATGGACGAAAACGAAATAGTGAGTTTTTAATTGAAAGTATTTTTACATATAGAATTTATTGGTTTGTTTTTGTATAGGTATTACATCCTATTCACAATATAGTGAAGATGAATATGACGAGTAAATCTATATATATATATTTTTTTTTGTACTGAAATTATTTTCTTTGTCATAGACTTTCAAGTACAAATTTCACATTAGCTATGTTAGTTATACATAATCTTGATCATATGATGCAACCACATGAATGGGAAACATTATTAACACGTGAAATTCATGGTGCTCGTGTAAGTTATTATTTAAATTCTATTAAAAATAAAAATATATTTTATTAATTGTAGACTTTAGGTGTAATTGTTGTTCGTGAACAATCATTATCACGTCCATGGGGTGAAGGCGAATTAACAGCATATATATTTACTCGAAACGATGCTTCACTTATTCGACAATATTTACATAATCGTCGTCTTGGTTTTCGACGTTTACATGTTGATGCCATAGCAAGTGAAGGTGGCATTGAAGTTTTTCTTGTGTAACTACATATATATAGATAAAGACCAAGATATTAATATTTATTTTTAGTCATAAAATTCTTCAATTACTTAAACTTAATCCGCAAATGTCTGAAGTTGTTATTGAACAACGTATTAGTAGTTTTTTTCGACGGTTTGATTTTATTGTATTTATTTTAAAAAGAAAAATTCAATTATGATTATTTTCTAGTATTCCACCAGCAGTTCGTCCACGTGATTATGATCGTACAGCTGTTATGCGATTAATTCATGAATGTATGGGTTTACCAGCATCACCACCAGCAACTAGTGAAGATAGTGAAATTGATAGTGATTCTCCACCCTTACGTCCAGCAGCAATTGTTCAATCATTACCACAACCAGATCCACCTATTTTTAATCCGCAATTAATTCGAATTGATGAACGTACAATGCAACTTCATTTTACTCCACTTTATTTTGGTAAAGAAAAACATGTTTTTTGTTTGTTTTAATTTTAATTTATTTTGTTTTTTATAGAACTTTTAGATACAATGTCGAATGTTAAAACTAATAATGAATATGATCAATTAATAGATGCTGGACTTTTCTAATGAAAATCTTATTTTTTTTGTTGTTGTTGTTCTCGTGCATTTTTTATGATGAAAATTTAGTCGTTGTTATAATGTCATGTCTTTTATTATTCTTAATTTCTTTTTATTTTTACCTTGTGAACATCACTTTATTCTTTGAATTAAATAATTATTATTAACTATTAGCTTATTAATTACGCTGCTAGAAATGTAGGTAACTGTGGTATAGAAAAGCATTTTTACATGCATATCTGCTATGAGATAAAACTATATAAACACGTCTTCATAAACTAGATGCCTTTTAGGATGGTTTTTGCGAGAGAAATACAGATCTAGTTGATCGATTTAATGAAGTAATTGATATAGTCGTAGTAGTGCTGTATTGTTTGTGGTTAGAGACATGTGATGAGGCTATATGGGTAGATATAGCTTGAAATTTGAATACAAGTGTGTGGAACGAAACAAAAAGACATAATATTTATATTGATTTCTTTCTAATAATAATAACTTATGAATAAATTCTTATATTTCTGTAGATTATCTTCATAGAATGGATATTCTTCCATCTCGTAATCGCCTTATCTAGTTTATTTTTCTGATACTCCGTTTTTTTCTATGGTTTGTATCTAAAACAATTAATAATTCTTCCAAAATTGTCGAAAATCACTTTAATAGCACAAAATCTCCATTTTCATCTGTTTCTCCTCGTCGTTATACAGCTCATCTTTCTTCTCTGTGGACAAAAGTGGATTATTAGCTTTGGAAACAGGAGAAATATTTCCCTCATAATAATCCAAGAGACAGCATTATTTACATGATAATGACAGGTAATTCATTCTTATTTTCCCATTGTGATATAATGATTTGTACTATTGAAATTATCAACGGAGTATGAGATATGAAAAAATTTATTTACATCAATAATAGAAATCATTATTAAATTACTAGGAAGAATTAGTATTTATTTTTTGATTTTTAAAGTATTAATTGAGATGTTAGCCTCGATAATTTATTATTTATAGTACGGAAATGTTGGAACAGTAGCATAACATCAACATTCAGTTACTATCAATATATGTATAAACTTTGAAGAGAAAACTACAATTCTCAACTAAGAATCTATTATGCTAAATCATTCATAAAAGTGTATATAGATCTTATAACGTGATTAGTTTTTATTTGAAAAAACGTTGGTATGTATTCCTGAGAGTTATATATAAGAAGAAAAGAAATTATTTCGTGTATTTAAAAGAGATATGATGCAACATCTTCTTCGTTTGTACATTTACACAGTTCAAGAAATTATTTCAGCAGAAAACTATTAAGAGTTTTTCGATATTTTTCTATTAAAATCATCAGTAATGAATTCAAGACGCTAGAAATGATTTTATAAGTATCTGAAAATCTTGGTTTTTATTACTTAGACCTATCGATTTAGTTTATTGCTTTTAAATAGAAATTTTTATTTTATATGCTTTAGTTCGTCGTAAAATAACATATTCTTAATCAGCGTATATACTATATTTATTATTCACTCAATAACATAAATTCGTTTACTGTCAAAAATCTTAATTCTTCTTTTGCTTGTTTAATATAATAAATTTAGAAAAAAAATTATATTAAGAAATTAGTCAGTTTTTTATTTTCGGTGATTTCTTTGTTATGGTTGAAAATAGTATTGTACTGATTGAATTGTAGAAGGATTAGAAGAAATAACAGATGTTGAAGTATTGATGTTCAAATAGTTGGATGAAGAAGTGTTACTACTGTTGCCTGTGGATGAAATAATGTGCCAAAGTGAGTAATTACTGTTGTCGGTTCACATTTTTACTTTCTTTTTTTTCTTCTTTACTACCAAACCGTCGACGTCGTAATGATAGTAGAAGAAATAAAATAATAAATAAAGTAAATGTAATTAAAAGAAAAATACAAAATGCAGCTACAATTCTATTTGTTAACATAAGACTTTTAAATATGTGTTTATTAATCATATTAAAATAGATTAAAAGATAAAATTATAATAACTATATACATATATATATTCCCTTTTTTGAAAGAAAGGGTTATATCACGTTTAAATTATGGGCCTAAAATTGCTTAAAGTTTGCTGTCATTCTGTCTGTCTGTCCAAACCAATCAGATCGCGGCAAAGTTTTTAAGCCACACTTTTGTTTGGTTTTAAGTCCAAATAACCTCATCCCAGGTTTTTTAGGTCGACGAATCAGAATCCGAGGTTAGATTTTTAAGAATTTTTTTATCCTTCAATTTTTTACAGAAAGGACCACTTTTTACGAAAAAAATTGTTTTTAGCAAAGTTTGATCAAACATAACTGGGATTGGAGAATCCGAATCCGAGGTCAGATTTTTGAATTTTTTTGTCCCTCATTTTTTTACACAAAGAATAGGTTTTTTAGGAAATTTTTTTGTTGGACCCGGTAGGTGTGGTTATTCACTTGTTAAACATGTGTTTAAAAACTATTTCTAAGCAGATTCATAAAAATCGGGTTCAAACGAGACCAGGACGGGTACCACTTTTAATACGCGACAACGAAATCGAGATAAAGAAACCATATCCCGTCAGACCCTAGTTGATAACTATAATCGAATTTTCGGTAAAATTTAAATAAATAGTTAAAAAGAGGGAACAGTTGTTGAAAATTCTGCTGTTAGGTCGGCGTAGATACCAACTGTAGAATAACATTCAAAACAAAAGAAGATCTTTTCTATAGCATAATGTAATGTAATGTAGTCTATTCGTAACAGCTTACAACATAGTTCTCCTTTGCTTAGTTGCATCTTGAGAATCATAGTATCAAATACCCAGTATTTTTCTAAGAGAAATTCACACAAAATGCACTTCTTCACTTCAAAGCTGAACTAATAGTGGAAGAAACGACTAGCCGTGAGTGGCCAACCGGAGGGAGGCCGACGAACAACTGGACGTTAATTTAGAGGACTGTATTAAAGCAGTTTTGAAATGAGTCTCAGTTGGTTTAAATGATTTCTTGAAAGCACTTAAGGAATGCTGATTGGAGAACGAATGTAGTAGTATATCGTTGTGTCAAAATAAAAATGAAATTGAAGACTATGATGAACAGTATGCAATGTTATGTAAAAGTTGGAAGTTTTTGATTGCGAATCGATATTTTATGAGTGAAACAGTTTTTGGTGCACGTGAAAGATCCTAATGTAACAGATGATAGATAGAAAAATATACCATATATGGTAACAGCTAGCCATGAGTGGCTGACCGAAGGGAGGCCGACGAACGACTAGATGTTGATTTGAAAGGTTTATCCTAAGTGTAATAAGTGAGATTTGATGTTTTATGAAAAATTGCTGAGTGAGTCGGTTCTTAAGTTAATAATAAATCTTTACTACATATTTGACGTAACAAGACCTATTCGATAAAGAACTTGTGAATGCAAACATGGCGTTATTTGCTTGTTGTGGCGTGAGCTAGGACACATATGCAGTTGTACGACTCTAAAAAGTTTAGGAGCTGTCTGGGATGATATCATTTTAAATGAACAGCTTTCTGTCAAATAATGATGTTTCGAGGTGATCCCAAACATATCCCAGTTTGGTTGTGTTATTAAACTTGCTGAATACACTTTGGAAAGAGGATCAATTTTTTTCATAACATCAATTTTCCTGATGATTCGGGAATATTAAGGTTACTTTGCTCAGATTATTTTGTAAAGTGTAAGAATTCTCGAATATGCAGCATCACAACTCCTTAATCTCTTTGAATTAGGTCAGTATTTTAACAAATGAGATATACAGCTGTGACTGATCGTTTATTCCTCAAATTAAAAATGAACCATGTTCGATTAAGATTTTATGATGAGTAGAACCTGCCCATGTTCCCTTTATTGACATGTATTCAAAATCAAGATTATTTTTAATGATAATCATAGAAAATTTTCTTTCAGAAAAGGGTCAGCGAATCCATCGGATGAGCGTTACTTGTGAGTAGTTCTTTATGATGAAAAAAATCAATTCAATTATGAGTTACATTTTTAGTATTCTCAATGTAATTTATTTTGATCAAAGGTTTTGAATTATGGTCGACAGAATATTTTCTATTTCAATTCACTGAGTCTCCTAACTATTCTGTAAAAAGCATCTGCCAAGTAAGTTTAGAAGGTTTCTCCTGTTCCGTGAATAAATCTACTCACGTGGATTTATCGCTTTATATTACTACTTATTCATTGTGAAGTATACTGCTTCATTAAGAAGTTTTATCTTCTCCTTCTCCTTTTCTGTTTGTTGAGCAGTCCCCTGAAATTTTTTTGTATTTCTACACGTTTCTTGTCTATCATCGTGATGTAATATCTTCATAGCATCTATTATGAAGTTAATCTGTATTTTTTAACGGTTTTTGTCTTCATTTATAATGCAATATCTTCATAATACTTATTATAAAAATATACGACCATTTTTAAACTAGCTTGATAAAGAAGAAAAAATTCGAAAGGCCTTCCCGTTACAATATTCATTATCTATGGCATATTTCTTTTTTCTTTTTCCTCTTCTGTTTAATACAAAATAAAATTTAAAAGAATTACTCTACTCTTTATTGAATAATAACTTTATGTATATCTATTTATTGAAATTATTTTTGTTGACTTGCAAAAGTGAAGAAAACGTCGCTTTTTGTGCTTGTAGAGTTTTCACAATTCTTCGTCTTCATGAATTGTGAGTTTTCTAGGTGGTTAAATTTTTAGGAGTATTATGGATGCCCTCTGTTCTGTGAATTTCGAATGCAGAGTTTATGTATTCTGCGTTTGTTATTTCTTATAATTGTAATATGGAGGAATAGTTCAATAGTTATCTTACAAGCTTAGATCTTATGGATTCAAAAGATTAGTGAACAAAAGAGAACTTATTGCAATGACACATAATATATTCAAAACTCCAGAGAGTTTTTGTATTAGTTTTGCTAAACAAAATGTACAAAGAAAGTAAAGACGTCATAAACGTTATTGTTAATTTTCCTAACGGCATAGTAACGCTGT